CTGAGCCTGAGCACCTAAAGATAACTCCAATACTCACAAATCTTGACCCTACTGATTGCCAATCAATAGGCTAATGCAGATGCTCAGTATGTTCTAAACTCCCAAATTCTTTATGATGTTTTCTGTATTAGTTTTCCATTGAGTGCTGAAATTCCTCAGGATTCCTCTTTTCTCTTTGTCTAAACCCAAGACCTCAGGGGCCTTATTATGGGCAAAAACTGTACTTTAGGACTTTAAATAACTCCGTAGTAATAGCAATGCTGTGATTATTATTACATGTGGTTTAAATCTCAGCATGAAGAGCAAGTAGTCGAAAAGTCTCCTTTCTTTCCAGCATTTGCTCTAGGAAAGTATGTTAAAATGGGTATTATTTGGTTGATCAAGTGAAATGTACTAGGAAATTATAAAAATGTAGATGGCAAGTCTGAGAGAGGGAACAGTTATAACTCCAAGTCAGCCTGCCTAGGTGCTTGGGGAGAGTATGATAATGATGGATCACTGCCCGTTCCAGCCATTATGTCCTGTTAGGTTCAAGTCCACAGTCTAGAAATCCTTATCAATCTAATGAAGGGGGCAGTGTGGTCATCCATACACGATGAGCTTATTTCCATCCAAACCAACCTAACTACCACTCCATTTACCAGAAGCAAGGCCTGCTGTGTCTTACTCAGAACTGTACTCTGCTATGGTTTTGCTCCTAATGAGAAAGACCTCTTTGTTCTAATTGGTTTGAGAGTGAATCCCCCTCCATGTCCCCTGGGGTAATCTGCAAATGCCCAAGGCTCATTTTGTCCGCTCTCATAACTATCCAGCCTCATTCCCTAAACCCTCTTAACCACCAGAGTCAGAATGATTTATTTAAAATGCAAACCTAACCATTACTCTTCTATTGTTTTCCAAGTCCTCTAGACTGAGTTCCAAATTTCTTAGCATGAAGCCCTCTGTGATTTGGTCCCCTGCTCAGTGGCATAGCCTTATCTTCTGCCAGTCTCCAAAGAGAAATGTATGCTCTAACAACAATGCCAGAGTACTTGTAATTCTTGCTTCCTCCCACCATGATACTGTTTACACCTCCTCCTCTCTGGACTGTGTTGTCCTCTTTATAAAAACATCATTCCATACTCTCCTTACCTGGATATTACATCCTTGTAGGTTTAATGCAGACATTGTTTCCAACAAACCTTCTTGTAACTCTGGGGGCAGGGAGGGGGTGGAGCCAGGGGTGTGGGGGGAGTTTGTGCAAACGTGGTTGTGCTCTGTATTTACATCTATCGTTGTGCATAGCTCTCTGCTTACCAGGGTATATCGATGATCTGATTTTTCTTTTTTATTAATCCTGGTTAGAAATGTGTGCTTTTCAAGGATGAAGACTGTAATTTATCTCTAGGCCATGAGCACTTAGCTTGAGACTTGGCAGCTTCCTCAGTATGTCAAACTGAATCTTTAGTTGTGTTTCTAGAATCTTCTGATCCATAAGTTTCCTCCATTGGCCCATGAATTGTAAATCTACTTTGATTACTAGACAAAGAGTAGAATGGTCATGCTTCTAAGTCAATATAGATTGGCTGGCTATAGCCTACATTTTCCACTTGATGAAAATTCCTGTTTCAAAAGTCATTTTGACATCTCAGTCCTTTGCATCATAATAGGCAAATGATCAGGCAGAACACATCCCTCAAAAGAGTTGTTTTCTAGGGACACAAAAGCTAAAAGTAAGTCAAGAAAAGTCATAGCCTTGAGGTTTTATTAAAGAGATAAACCAAATCCTCTTGAAGGAGTCAGAAAAGACTTCCTAGGATAAGAGACACTCTAAATGGTGGTAGGAAAATGGCTACGATTTTTTAAAAAAACTAGAGAATGGGCAGAGATAAAGGGGAGGGGGAGATGATGCCTTTCAGCCAGAGGAATATCAAATGCAAAGAGATAGAAAAGCTCTAAGTGTATTTAGGTAACAAGAACACTTGTGATCGTTTGCCTTCTGATCCTAATGTGACTCATAGTCTCCCCATTACCCGTACCTCCATACTCCAATGACTCTAACTCCTTTCTCTAACCTAATGGTTCACAAACTTGAGTGAACCACAGAATTGCTAGATCACAGATTACTGAGCTCCGCTACCAGATTTTAGATTCATAGACCAAGTGACGCTGATGCTGTGGTCTGGAGCCACATTTGAGCACCATTGAAAAACTTCCCTGTTGACACCATTATGACAAAGACCTGAAGGCATGTTCCCTACTTCCACTCCAGACGCTGTAGGATACGGATCTCAGAACTCACCGGGAGCCTTGCCTTTTGGACTCTGGAGGGACAATCACACCTAGAAACCACAGCCAACTGCCCATTGGCAAAGCAGCCACCATCATTTAAGTTGCAGAGCAGAGTGTTTTCTCATCATCCTGGCAAATGAAAGACTAACTTAGACCATCTGGTTCTGTAACACCCTCCTACACCACTGCTTAAAAGCAGCTGAACATATTTTCTCTTACATCTTGTCAATAAAATATTGCTCCCCCAGGCTGTCAGCTTGCCATGTTTGCATCCCTTAAGCAAAGGTGGAGCAGTTTGTAATGGTACCAACAAGAGGGCAGTATGGGGTAACTCCTCAGCCTTTCATTGTCGATATTCCATGTACCCCCATTCTTGGGGCAGATTCTCTAAACTGATGGCTTAAAGTATTTTTTAAAAGTGGAACCAAAATTATCAAGACCTTCCCTAACTGCTGTGCCCTTTCTGTCCTGTTAATTTTGCTTTGCCTTATGACAGTGAAGAATCAATGTTTAGCATTTCCAACAGCCAGGTAGTGTGTGTACACATTTATTAAGATTAATTAAAAAGTAACAAATTGTAAAGTAATAACATTAACAACCAGTAGAAAAAGTGTAGACATTTTGACAGTCTTTTTGAATTTCATTAAAAGATGGTAGTGACAAAAACCCCAGAGACTATTTCTACTTTACTAAAGAAATAGGTCACAGATTCAATTACAGTCACTGAAGCATGGACTCAATCTATCATGGCAAATTAAGTACATTTTAGCAACCTACTTTCCTTTAAAAATTTTATAGACACTTTCAGTGGAAGAAGAAAGACTATAGAAAAAAAAAAAAGAAATTGTAAAACCAAGTCCCACCCTTACTCCCCCCTAGGCTTTGAGTAAGCATTTGGCTTATTTGCTTTGGGTATAAGACAGAAAATCATTAAGAAATACTCAGCTCGCTCACAATTATTACTCCTCACTTGTTCATGGTTTAATGATGCAGATTTGGAACTGGGAGTGGGAAATGGCTCCAAATTAGAATCGCTAGTCTTCAAACAGGGTCTTTGTTCTACAGGCCCAGCCCCGCCCCCTTTCTTTAAAATAAGGCTATTTGTACTTTATAGCTTTTGTGAAATTTTTGCCTTAGACTCTCAGCAGACACATTGTGTTCATTTCTGAAAAGATAAATAAATAAATTGGCCTGTGGATATGGTTTAGCGAAGTTCAAGTATTAAGACAATGAAACACCCTTTTGGCCATAGCAAAATTGATTTCATATTGACAACTGAAATTTATGAAGGGGTCTCTTTGCAATGAAGTTGCAGGGCCCACCTTCAATACTACAGCAGCATCAGTAAGTGTAGAGCATAAGTGAGTAATACCCTTGTGTTTGCCCTTTGGTGAGGAAACAACATATTCACAGCCCTGAGGAGGAGTCTTGAGATTCATCGTTTGTCCTGGACCAGAAGCTTCAGAATCTCAGGCTTAGGCTTTGTTCCTACATGGTGGTGCTACCAAAACACCTACTCTGAGTTTTGGTGTTGCCTAATACCCAGCAGTCCCTCCTTTTCTATTAGAACTCTTGAGTACACTTTTCTGAATGTAAAATGGGAATAATCAAGATAAGCAATTATGTTTGTCCCCTAGAGAAGTAATAGAGGCGCTTTATGAACATCTGAATCATCCTGCTATTGTCCGATTAAATAAGAATCTCTCTTCCACCAGGTAATAGGTTAAATTTACAGGTAGAAGCCCAGAGAAACCATAGCTCTAATTTTAATTACAAAATCACAGCTTCCCTTGGGGATTAGGTTTAACAGCAGCTCGTAAGGGGAGATCTCAATATGGTCAACAGTACTCTGCAATATACCACAAATCCACAGGTCTTCATAGCCTGCTTACTTGGTAGTATATACATATAATTATGAGTCCAGAGTTAGCATGTCTTACAGCACAAGCTCCTTCAAACTACAGAGGTAAGATAATGTAGGCTGGTATGTCTACCCATGTGTTGTGAAACTCTGTCTGAGACTGCTCACAGAGAGACTAATGAGTTGAGGAGTGACTCATATTTAGCAGCAAACTGAGGCTGCAGGTTCTCCACATCAAGGTGATGGACAAACATTGGTTCTTATCTGTAGTAGCCATACTAATCCTGAATAGATTGGGGAAGGGGAAGCAGAAAAAGCTGTGTACTTTGTTGGCTTTTAGGACACTAAAATTTTCAGATTGTGTGCTAACTACATTTTCTGTTTATTCTTCAGTTAGTATTGTAGGAAATCCTGTGCTACTAAAGTCTTCTGTGCTGGTGCAAAAAAAAAAAACCCTCAATACCAAAATATTTATAAATACATAAAATGTTCAGTAATGTATAGCACATAGTAATTGTATATGGTAAATATTCTAAAGCATATTTTAAATTACATTCAGTGCAATGAAATGTTTATACTATAAAAGACCCCTGGGAATTGCAACCAAAGGAAGAACTACTCCCATCTCAAGTTTGTTGATGAGTGTGGAAAATGTCTACAGTATTTAAAGCATAGCCCTGTCCTCAAGTGTTCTAGTTTATCTCATCTTGAGTGGGCCAAGTATTGGTAGTTTAAACTTTGGTGATTCTAATGTGTAGCATAGTCTAGTATCATTGATTAAATTGTTTTTCTTTATCATTCTATATTTGCTCAATTTGTATAACTTAAAATCACTCTCAATGTGACTACCTTATATTTCTCTCTCCAGATATTTAGGGAATGGTCAACTTCTAAAACCAGCCTTATTTCTGGAGATGTATTCTTCCTGCCTCTGAGAGATGAGGATGGTACTGAGCTGGTGAGTCTCTGTTTGGGGCCTCTGACTACTGATCAACACATTTGCTAAAACTCACAAAGCAGAAAGGAGGTGGGGTTTCCGAGAAGGACAAGTGCTTAGTCCTGAGCTTTCAAGATGATTTTAACCTCTGAGATCAATGATGATAAGATGGATACTCGAGATCAATGCTGAGCAGTATGAACTCAGGAACTCATAGGAAGTTTTCTAGAAATATGTGAGGGACAGTTCAAAACTAGTGAAAAAAGTCTTTCTCATGTTTGAATTTTTCAAAGTAATAATCAGATGGTGTGCTAAGCTTAGCATCTTTGAGAGATGGTATAGCATAATGATTAGGACTGCAGATTCAGAAGCTAATTTGCCTGAGTAGAATACTCACGCAGCCACTTGCTGAATGATTTGGGGCAGGGTACTTAACCACTATGTGTCTCATATTCCTCACCTGCATGATATTGATGGTAATTGTACCTACCTCTAGGGTTATTCTGAGGATTAAATGATTTTATGCATGTGGATTACTTAGTCAGGGGCCTAGTATGGAGTATGAACTGAAGAAATGTACTTTGTTTTTTTATATGTACCATCATAGGTATTATGTAGGTGGCTGTAATAGTTAGAGCAGCTCATTCTGTGTCCTTAATTACACATTTATTTTATTAGCTTAAATAACAGAATAAAAAAAGTGTTTTCAGAAATAAAGTATTGACATCTACTTCTGATGGACTATTCATAAGGCAGTGTAGTAGAGTGGATTTGGACCTGTTAGGTCCCTAGAAGTGACTTTGATTAAGTCTTTGGAACTTTTTAAATTCTAGTTTCATTACCTGCAAACATGGAGAGTCTATGTATTTCTTGCATTCTTTACTCATTAGAGCCTTTGGGAAATATTCTTCATGTTTTATGTGACAATTATTTTACCAAGAGCTTATCATAAATTATAGCATTTAAATCTCATGCTGATACTTTGAGAAAGATACCATCCTATTGTCTTCACTAATGAAAAAATGGAGGCCAAGACTTTCCCAAGGCCACCAAACTAGTTAAGTGGCAAGTCTCCCAAGTGTAACAATATTTTTTAATAGTCTATGGATGTATCATGTTACATACATTTTATATGGGAAATTATAGTGTGTAATAAATGTTATATTTAATTATTTAGAGAGTCTCTCTTTGATATTATGTAAAGAGAGAGATAGTATGGAAGGAATAAGTTTTGATTGTAAGAGTCAGTCACTCATTGCTTACTATTATTGAAACTGATATCCTAATAGCAACCAAATTTCTGTATTTAGTGATGACTTAGGAGAGACATCATACTATTGATTACTTTTATTGTTTACCTTTATTTTCTTTGGTGATGCTTTGGAAAAACACATTGATGAACTACAAAACAGTGATTTTATACACATGAAAATGAATTAAGTAATTTTTATTGCTGAAGTATAGCAGTGAAGAATAAGAGCTCAGGAAGTAGAAGGGAGATCTCTGGAAAGTAGACTAACTTGAGTTTCTTCGTTGAATTATTCCCTTCCATCTGAGTCTTACTCTGTCTTCCCCTCCTCCTGTTCCCTGAGAAGCTTGACTATCTCTTGATGAACTTGGCATAATAACCACGCACAGCTGGACTGCAATATGGCTTGAGAAGAAGTACACTCACAGCCTGTGATGTTAGATGAGCTTCAATTTGTTCAAACTACTTGCTGTGTCAGTCTGACTCCAGGCATCTGTGTGAAAAATGGGAAATTTAGTTACCTATATAGATAGTAATAGAAATAGTCATACTTCGAAATTTTGTAATATTTTTCAAGTTACTACGCACATTCACACATCTCACACGTTTCAAGCAATGCTTACAACTGTTTGGTAGAGAATTATTGTTCTTTATATAGAGTAAACAAACCTGAGACTTGGGGAATTTTTTACTGGTCTCATCATATAGCTGGTTAAGGGCATACACATATCTTTACTAACCCTGCCTTTTTGTGTGAACAAGACTATTTTACCTGCCCAGGATTATCTCCACTCTTATTTTTCTGGAAATAGTCCCCCTTTGTTATGGGAATGCCTGTTCTCCCAATTACAAGCATTTGTTTCCAGCTACCCTGTTTTAACCAGACCTATGCCCCTGGCCATACTTGACTGATACAAGATTGGACATCTGACCCAATGTAGGCCAATCTTTGTCTAGAATTTTTCGAATTGGAAGTTTCCAGTAATGGCAGCTTTAGATACCATGTTTTTTACTATGTTAAGAAAGCTGGTTTGCAGGACTCAAAGGAAGCTGACAGAAAGAGATGCAGAGCTAGGGA